TCACGAACCAGTCCCCCCGCCGGATATGAGATATGATGGCCTTCAGCGTCAACATTTTGAATTTTCCTTTGTAAAGAGAGAAATTCAACCGGCGAAGATCTAGTATCGGCCGCAGGCCGCCCCCCTTCTTCGGGACCAGGAAGTAACGGCTGTAGAAGCCCTGTTCGACTTCCCCCGAAGGAATCTCTTCTATCGCCCCCTTCAGCAGAAGGGATGAAATCTCCTGCTGTAGTACAGAAGCCTGAGCGGCGCTGTCGACTACAGTAGGAAAGACCCCGTTGAAGCAGGGGGGGTTGCGACAAAACTGAAGCGTGTAGCCGAGCCGAACTGTGCGAAGGATCCAAGGCGATACCCCTGGTAAACGCTCCCATTCTTGAACGAAATGTGATAGAGGCAGAGGAGTGTTGCAGTGCAAGGGACATACCTGAGGTAGGGTGTCGCGCTGGTTTCCATGGGGAGGCGCGGTTGACCGTGGAGGAGAGCGCTTGGCGTCCTGACACGTATTGGGGGGTACCACCACCTGGATAGAAGTAACTGGGTCCGCCTGCTCCAGAGGAAAAAGAACTGTGCCTCTGAGGAAGCGATTGGCGGGTGTAACGTGCACCGGGAGCGAGGGGAGAAAGCAAGATGCGTCTCCTTCCTCCTGCGCCGGACTGGGTGAAGAGAGTGAAACAGGACCTGCACTTCGAAACACGCTGGGTGGCGAAGGTGACAGGGTTGGATGAGGAGAGCCGGCTGGAGGAGGGCAGAAACGCTTGCGCGGTCTGTCCCAACCTCGTAGATCTGATGAGGCTCTCCTCTTCCTGCCCTGCGGGTCAGGAACGGCTCGAGGAGGCTGGAGCGGCCGATTTGTTGGACCGCTTCAGCTGAAGGCGCTTGTGAGGGCGCTGGCGAGGAAATGGACGACCTCGGGCTCCCCAGACAGTAGTTGGTGGGTGGCGAGCCGGGTCACTCCTGCTAGTAGGGAACTCAGCCCTATGAGCAGAGCGTTCTCGGGTTTGAGAAGGGGGAGGGTTGGAGTCACTGGGCCCTCTGACCCTCCTGGGCATAAACTGCCTGAACGCGGCCGACTGAGACTTAGCGGCGCGGAACTTGTCAACCACCGTGTTGACCGCCTCCCCGAAAAGACCTGAGTGGGAGATAGGGGCATCCAGGAGGAAACTCTTATCCTTGTCTCGGATCTCCGTGAGATTCAACCAGAGGTGGCGCTCTGCAGCAACCGAGCCCGCCATAGAGCGACCTACAGCCCGAGCAGTGTGCTTGGTGGCTCTTAGGGCCAGATCTGTGGCTTTGCGAAGCTCTTTGACAGCTTCGGGCGTCAGTCCCTCTCCTTCATCCATGTCCTTCAAGACGTCCGCTTGGTAGGCTTGAAGGATGGCCATGGTATGCAGGGCCATGCCTGCCTGACCAGCCGCCATGTAAGACTTCCCAATAAGGGAGGAAGTAGTCCTACAAGCCTTGGAAGGAAGAAGGGGACGCGCCTTCCAAGACGGTGCAGACGACGGGGCGAGGTGGTTAGCCAGCGTGTCCTCGACCGCTGGAATAGCGGAATAACCCTGCTCCACAAAACCAACAAGGTTGGTGAAGTCAGCGGCTGCCGCATTAGTTAGGCGTGCGGAGAATGGCTGCTTCCAGGATCTGGAGATCTCGTGATGCAGATCGCTGAAAAAGGGCAGCTTTCTTCGTTCTGGCCTAGAATTAGGGCCACGTAGGAACCTCTCGTCGAGTTTGGACGATTGAGACTCGCGGGGCTCATCAGGCCAGTCAATAGAGAGCTTCTCTGTAGCGCGCGACAGCACCTCAATAAGCTCAGTGTAGGCCGGAGTAGGCCGCGCGTCCTGGCCGCTAGGCGGGATAACGTCATCAGCCAGAGCAGGCCCGAAATCCTCGGAGTCGGAGGCTGCAGTGTAAATAACGTCATCCAGACCGAAAGAAACCGATTCGCGGGCTCCCGGGCTGGGACATAAATAATCATGCGCGAATTCAACCGCGCCGCGTGCGTGCTCGGGAGAGGGAGGGAGAGAAAGGGCGAGGCCCGTCTGCTCATACTCAATATCCTCGAGCTCAACATCCGAACCCCAGGCCGCGGATCCACGAGAGGCCTCAGCAGTCTCGGGAGCGCGACGGGGGGAAACGAATGTCTCCTTCTCAAAAACCGCGAGTCTAGAGCGGAGGGTTTTGAGAAGGAGATTGTCACAAAATTTACATTTCGACAATCCTAATACAGCCTCACGCGCATGCGAAAAACCCATACATTTAACACACTTACTGTGAGGGTCGTCGTTCGAGATGAAACGAACGCATGGCGGAGAGCAGCGTCGATAATCCATGACACTTCACTGTAAGGAGAACAGAGTTCCACTTATACCAGTCGCTGAAGTGTCGAGACGAAAGCTGAAGTTGAATTGAAGAATTCGGGCTCAGAAAAACCGCACGAAGGGCGAGATGTGACCGCTTCGTGAAGGCAGAGAAATCTGAGGAGAAGATGGCGCGCGCGCGTACATCATGCTACGACGTAAGAGCGTCGGGGCGGAGCCAGCTTTGCGCGAGCGCCATCAGCCAATGGATTGGCGTGATTCTATAGGGCTTCAGACAATCGGCACATCCAGAGGATATCCCACTGCGCTTTCCGCAGCGTTGAGTGAACCTATGAAAGAGAACAGGTTTTCCCCCAGATTGTCCATGGCGTAGTTCTTTCTGTATTTATGATTATTACCAACCGTTAGTGATCCGCTAAACATTTACAGGTGAGACTCGACAAATCAGAATATTGTACAAAAGTTAATTTCAGTAATTAAAAGGTGAAACTAATATATTATATAGACTCATTACATGCAAAGTGAGATATTTCAAGCCTTTATTTGTTATAATTGTGATGATTATGGCTTACAGCTTATGAAAATCCCAAATTCAAAATTAGAATATTGTGAAAAGGTTTTCATAAGCTGTAAACCATAATCATCACAATTATAACAAATAAAGGCTTGAAATATCTCACTTTGCATGTAATGAGTCTATATAATATATTAGTTTCACCTTTTAAGTTGAATTACTGAAATAAATGAACTTTTGGACGATATTCTGATTTGTCGAGTTTCACCTGCACTCTTTGAATTCTTTCTTTCAAATGACTATAGTGACTAAAAACGACTAAAAGTTTGCTAAGAGTATTTCCTACTAAAGCAAGGCGATATTTGACGGTTTTGATTTGAAAAAGGGAAGACAACAGCCTTTTCCCAAAGTTTTCCGCTTTTCTACTCGTTTTATTGAAAGCCCATTTTGCCAGCAGTTCAGTCGCCCTTTAAAAGTTATAAACTACACATGATTGCACAGAAAAAACTAAAACAGTGATTGACAGGGTTCCTACAGGTTTCTTCAAGTTAAATTCAAGTCTTTTTAAGACCATTTATATAAAAAATTAATACCTATTTCACGTCCCTACCAGCATAGAAAAACAAAAAAGTAGCTAGCTACTTATTCCATGCTGGGAATATGGGGAACTGAGAGACCCCTGAACAATAGACATCGAAAATCATAATAATCGTGGTTGACAAATGAAACTTTTGAGGAAAAATACAATACGGAGGTTACATACAGCAGTGTTAATCTCAACAGCAAATTTTGATTTAGTCTCAGTCTTTTGACTAAAATGCCATTTAGTTTTAGTCATATTTTAGTCATCTGAATTGTTTTAGTTTTAGTCTAGTTTTAGTCGACTAAATCTACAGTAGATTTAGTCGACTAAAATATAATGGGTTTAGGTAAATGCGTTAATTTAGAATTTCTCTAAAATCTCCAAACCCATTTACTCCCGGAGAAAACATCTATTAACCTATTAATATGAATGATTTTTTAGTCTGAACATGCAATACAGATACAGATTTAACTACTGTGACTTAAAAAATATCTTAAAATTAAATAAAACCACTTTTCCTAAAGTAGAACAGTCTTCTTTTCAATGAATGATATATGCATTCTTTAGAACTACTTGCATACATCATTATTTATTCTTTCAAGTATGAATTAAATATAATTAATCCTTATTAAAGCTATTAACAAACAGTGAATGCTTTTCTCTTGTTGCTTGATCAATATTAAGACTCAGACCGCATTTGGTTTATTACCCACTGTCACTTTAAGACATCGGATCATTTCCAATGACATGCGGATCCAGTTGCACTGATGCACATCCGACACACTCACAACTGTTTAAGACATAACCGACATAGTTTACATGAATACTCTCCAAAACGGACATTTCGACATAATGTTGTGTGTATCTGTCCACTCAGACACGAAAGAGAGCTCAATTCAGTCCTCGCGCGCTGTCTAGGCGTCTATGTGCACGGTTGCACGCTTTGGGTCGGGTGTGTGTGCACAGAAAACTCTTTTTTGCATCGACACTCTTATTCAAATCTATATGTCTGCTCTACTCATTCTCCCACGTTTACATTTTTAACGTTTTATGAGACCGCGGGGTAGATCAGCACGTTACAGTACAAATGTGTGCATCTAGCACACACGCAGGACATCAGTTCTGACTGGATCGCTTCCCAGATCAACACTATCTAACATTTTCATCTAGTTTTTATTCGTTGACGAAAATGTCAATAGACTTTCGTCATAGTTTGCCATTCAAAACTAGGTTTTATTTAGTTATCGTCTCGTTTTCGTCTGTGAAAAAATGTCGTTGAAGAAACATTTTCAACGAAATTAACACTGACATACAGCACAATTTTTAAGACCCAGACATCAAAATTCAAGACTTTTTAAAGTCTTTTTAAGGTATTATTTCCAAATGAATAAATTCAATGCTTTTAAGGCTTTTTAAGACCCCGCGGGAACCCTGGATTGAAAAAGAAGAAAAAATAAATAAATCAGCATAAGTTAAAAAAAATCTAAATGGATGGCACACACAACTGACACTATCTATAACACAAACCTGTAATGCTTGCAGAAAGCAGTGTGAAATACTGTAATTAACTCGGAGATGTGCATACCAGAGGCGCGCTTCTTAATGAGTTTCAGATAGTTGAGGATTGTGCATCGCGTGTCGACGTCCACCTCCATGTTCTCCAGGTAGCTGTTCAACATCGGGATCAGCCCGTGAAACACCCCTTCCTGAACACACACACACACACACACACTCACTCAGTGGAGGAACGGCGTATCGCTGACGCACGTAAAGACGGGTGAAGAGCAGAGAAACACACACCTTCCCGTTGATGATGGTGTCGATGCTCATGAGTGTGAACTCCTCCCCGTCACTCGCTTCGCTCTCCACCCCGTTCTGAGCCGCGGACGGCGGGTCCAACACCGGGTTACAGCCTGACAAGTATAATCATCATGCAAGAAATATGAGTAACACTAAATTAGGGGTCTTTAACTCAGACCTGCAAACTCACAGGAGGGGAACAAGGTTATGATTGAGGCGAGTTGAACCCTTGTGTTATGTTGCGGGTCAATTTGACCCGTTTCGATTTTCTAGTTGTTGGAAATATTGGTTAACCTTTGTTTTTTTTCTTGATATTTTGTGACTTTTTCTCATTTATCATGATGAACATGCATGCAAAGTTTCAACATGCTGATGTGTTTTGACATAAACAAACAAAATTACTGTTACGTTCGTGATGTTCGTGGGTCAATTTGACCCTCATAGACAGCCATTCAAAAGCAACTGTACAGACACAAAATAAAAACATTTATTTTCTGTATGTCAGGGCACTTCAACTCCAGTTCTAACGTGCAAGTGCATCTAAAAGTGCTCTAACCCTAACCAAACACACTTGAAAAAGCTAAAATCACAGTGTTTAGAATTATTTGCAAATTACAGATGAAAATCTTTGTCAGACACAGATAGTAAAATAAGCTCTCAGTTCAATATTCAAGATATCTAAAATACCTAGCTTTTAACCAAAACTTTTATGTAGGATTTTCAAAGGCAGCTTCACAGAGCCAATAAATAAATAAAAAACATTTATTTGATGTATGATTTTGTTATGTTTGGTTTCTCACTTCCCAGTGAGTGAATAATGAAACTAGGAAAATAGGTCTTAGGAAACTAGGGAAAGTTAACTTAGGAAAATGAAAAATTCTCATTATACAGCTAAATTTTATTGTTCAGTTACGATGTTCAAAGCATAAAAAGTAAAAAAAAAAAAAAAAAATGTATATGCAAAAAAAGTCAGTATACTGTTTATTTTCCAATTTTGTCATAAATTGGTTTAAAAAATGGTTTAAAAAACTTTTTTATAAATCATATTTTCAGATATAATGTTTTTGTAATGTTTGACAAATGTTGATATTAAAAGTTTACAGTTTGTATCTAAATTAGGGCTGTCAAACGATTAATCACGATTAATCGCATCCAAAATAAAAGTTTGCGTTTACATAATATATGTGTGTGTACTGTGTATAATTATTTTGTATATAAATGCACACACGTATATATTTAAGAAAAATATGTTATTTATATATAAAATGTTTATATTTATATAAAATATATATTATATATAGGCTACATTCAGTCTATATACAGTATATACATGCAAATATTTCTTAAATACACATGCATGTGTGGGTATTTATGTATTAAAAATAATTATACACAGTACACACACATATATTATGTAAACACAAACTTTTATTTTGGATGCGATTAATCGCGATTAATCGTTTGACAGCCCTAATCTAAATCTTTGTTGTTTTTCATAGTGTGATTTTTGAGGAATTGTATTGAATCCAATTAGGGTCAATTTGACCCGCTCCATAAGGGGAGTACACAGAATTCGAACAGTCCACAAGGGTTAAGACTAGTTTATTCACTATATGTGACCCTGGACCACAAAACCAATCACATGGGTCAAATTTTTGACATTGAGATTTATACATCATATGAAAGCTGAATAAGCTTTCCATTGATGTGTGGTTTGTTAGGATAGGACAATATTTGGCTGAGATACAAATCTGAGGATGCAAAAATATCGAAACATTGAGAAGATCGCCTTTAAAGTTGTGCATTTATGTTGGAGATTGTGCGGCATTCACTCACAGAAATAATTCTACTATATATTTACGGTAGAAAATTTACAAAATATCTTCATGGAACATGATTTTTACTTAATATCCTAATGATTTTTGGCATAAAAGAAAAATCGATAATTTTGACCCATATGTATTGTTGGCTATTGCCACAGATACACCCGTGCGACTCGTGACTGGGTTTTGTGATCCAGGGTCACATGTAGACATCTTCATGTCATTATTAGGTGCTTTGACCCCTTAGCTGTCACCCCCCTTTTTGAGAATGGGGGTTAAAATGCACTATTCAAACTTAAATGGTTGTAATTCAAGAATGCTTTGGAATATATACCCAAGTTTGGTCTTGTTTTAAAGAAAACACTCAGCAGATCATTGCTGAAGTGAGAACACTTCAAAAAATAAAAGTATGAAAAAGTTATAGAAGTTTAAATTTACAGTAAATCAAATATACTGTACTATATATTTTTTATTTTATATAATATATATTTTACAAAATATTTTTTACTCTAAAATTACTATAAAACCAAAGCCATAAATCTAACCAAGTTATGTTCCAAATTTGAAGTTGATATCACAAAAATTGAAGTTCCCATGAGATTTTGTTTAGGTGTAGTGCCAAAAATAGCCACCGGGTGCCATTGAATTTAGTTGTATACATTCTGCCTTAACAAATTAATAAATTTCTGTCCAAATATCAATTCTGTCACAAAATGTGGAACCTTGAGACTAAGACCTTTCTGACAATATGTGTTTTGTCAAGATTAGAAAAGGTTTTGATCATAAATTATGAAATATAAATGATGGCCAAAAGGGGAGGAGCCTGATAAAATAATTTAGAGTACCGTTTTTATGGTAACGCAACGTTCAATTATAAAACGGTTTTCACAGGATGAATTCTGAGTTTATAAGCTTTCAAATGATACCTAATTTATGATAACTACTAAAATATGTGATATAATAAAAGGCGATAAAAAAGATATTATATTTTTAGAGGATTATATATTATAATTATATTATAATATAATTTTTTATTGAAAAATACTAGATTATATGTTTTATTATGAACTTTTAGCATAAAAACAGAAGTTTCAATGATTAAAAGTGGGTGCATCGGCTTTTTATGATGCAGATTTTTTGAGGTGCACTCTTGTCATAAATTCATCAATTACTCTTCCTACATAATTTGTAACACAAAACAGGGGTATAATATCTATTTAGAAGTCTTAGACCTTTCCAACGATATATAATTTATCATAATTAGATTACTTCAGTATATTTCTATTAAATCCTAAAGTTAGGCGTCCCACAGTTAAGGGAATTGTGTATATGTGACATCATTGTGTGCTTATGTAAACGAACCGGTTCATTGAAGCAAACTGCCCGAAAGAACCAGTTCACAGAAAATAATCGGACTTCCCATCACTAATGAACACCCAGCAGTGCACTGAAGCTGGAGGCATTTTACATTCGCTTTCACAAATCCAGTGATATGAAATGTAATTTCCCAAAAACAAAACTTTAAATGGCAAAAAAGTTCATGTCAAGTCCTGGTCAACAGTGTGATTATAGACGTCATTACAGAAATGAATTACATGCAGTTATTGTTAAATACATGTTTTTATATTGTACTTGTATGTACACAAGTACACTGTAGCAAACAATTCATTTAAATGTGTTCATAGTAGTTAAAGACAATTAATATACAGTAAATGTGTCACAGCTTAACACTGATATAAATGATGATGACCTCCGTTTAACTGTCAACTAACCTTTAAAGACGTCCTTCCGAAAGTAAAACATCCCTTCTTGCACGGCATTTCGCTTCTGAGCAACTTTCATATTTTCATCGACCTAAACCAAAAGAGTTGCAAAAAAATTACAAAAATACAAACGTCTTGCTTGCACATTTCTACTCTTCGTCTTGCTTTTAAAGATATGCACAGTATTTCTGCCAATTAAAATCATCCCTAGAATCACACTTTTTCTGCTTAAAATGCTAAATGTGTAAAAAACAAAACACACACACACACGCACGCACGCGCACACACACACACATGCACGCACGCACACGCACGCACGCACACACACGCACGCACACACACGCACGCACGCGCACACACACACACACGCGCACGCACACACGAACACACGCACGCACACACACACACGCACACATGCACACACATGCACACACATGCACACACACGCACGCGCACACGCACACGCACACACACGCACACACACATGCATGCGCGCACACACGCGCACACGCACGCACGCACGCACGCACGCGCACACACACACACACACATGCACGCACGCACACACACACGCACGCACGTGCACACACACACACGCGCACGCACACACGAACACACACACGCACACATGCACACACACGCACACATGCACACACATGCACACACATGCACACACACATGCATGCGCGCACACACACGCACGCGCACACACGCACACGCACACACACGCACACACACATGCATGCGCGCACACACGCGCACACGCACGCACACACACGCACGCATGCGCACACACACACCTTTGATAATGGAATGAGGAAATCCAGCTTATAGGACAAGATCACACGGGTGAGAAGAACGATAAATACGACATAAGCTGAGTTCTCAAAATCTGTGAGTTGGACCTGTAAATAAAGAAAAAAAGAAAAGAAAAAAGTGTTACATATGATAATATGCATTTCATGTTTATGCAAAACAAACCCAAAAAATGTGCATACAATAGGGTGAACGTCACAATATCGGTCAAGATCATGTCAAATTATTGGATGGATGGACGTTGTGCTATTCATAAACTTCAATATTTCATTCAAAATAATGCAATCAGTGTTTTGGCACAGCTGGCCGAGTGGCGATATGCATTGCATAATCGGGTTTAAATATTGGTGTGTTAAATTAGCCTTCGACGAACACGCTGGGATTGTTTTCCTCATAACAGCGGAAAGAACTTAAAATACTCTGTCGTTTTTTGTCGTACATATTAGAGTAAGACATCATTAGAAACTGTAAAGGGTATCATTTTATTTTTATACTCTCATTATAACAACAAAACGTGATGCTTTTGTAAAATAAAGAAAAAACAAGCACATACAATTAGGATACGCTTTATGCCGTCGCCGAAACTTTCTGTATACATCATGTGACATGCCTCATTCACGATAATAATTATATCTATAGAAAGCTTGAAATGTGAAATTTAAATAACCAATTCACATCGAAATGAATTATGTAATCCAATACAAGAGGTACAGAGGTATCTGCTCAAACACAGATGTTTATAATGTGTATGAGCAATTTTTTTTTTTGCAATGTAAAAAATCCAATGGCACACTATATAAAAATATAACAAAATTGCACAAACATGCATTGCTTCAAATGGCATATAAATCTAGATATTCGGCTGTATTAAAAGTAGTACTCACATTTAATGTGAAACTCGAGCTATAGTCAGGTAGGAACACGATAAGTATGATGTTGTTGGTAATGATAACACAATACATTTATTTGTAGCATTTATTTTTAATTATTTTTTGGAATTTGATCATTTTCCACGGCACACCTGACAACCTAATCCCACAATAGTGGCTGGGAAACACTGCATTACAGAGAAATCTTGCTCTACTTGATGAACTCAAAAGTAAAGGTGGATTAAAATAGTCCATGTTCAGATATTGCTTCACTAATAGTTATTCAATAAATGTCACATTAACAGGTGCAAGAAACACCCAGTGGGTCGGGATTTATTTTCATGAATAATAAAAAAACATTTCAACAACATCCCCCTCTCTGCTTTCCACACATACACACACACACACACACACACACACACACACACACACACACACACACACACACACACACACACACACACACACACACACACACACACACACACACACACACACACACACACACACACACACACACACACACACACACACACACACACACACACACACACACACACACACGTCTAAGCTCTGCTAATCATACAGTCAGTCGAGTCGCGTCGGCTTGCATTGTTTGGCACACACACACACACACACGTTTAATACCTCCATGGGGCGAAACTCGACTCTCCACCCGATGTCGGAGTTTGGGGGGGGGGGCTTGAACCTCATTGTCTGCCAGTTGGTTGACTGAAGATTCTGGAACATGCAAAATAACCCGTGGCTCATTCTCACGCGCTATATGAACAAATCGTTCCAACTATGTGGCAAACACTGGTCTAATATTAACATTTCTTGTTTGTTAATGTTGATCAATTTGCTAGAACAGTAAAAATCAGATGTTAATTTTAAAGGAGGAGTTCACTTCAGAGTTATAATGTCCTGATGATTTACTCTCCCCCACGTCATCCAAGATATTCATGTCTTTCTTTCTTCAGTCGAAAAGAAATTAAGGTTTTTGAGGAAAACATTCCAGGTACTTCCTCCTACGTCCCGCTTGACCTTTCAACCTGATTACGTAATGTGTGACGCATCACAGCTCGAGCAAGACCAGCATTAGTGGTTAAAAGTATATAAATGTGTATTTTGTTATAAATGTCCGCTGGTTTGTCTAGATAAGACTCTTATTCCTCGGCTGGATCGTGTCGAGACTTTGAAGCTGCACTGAAACTCACATCTGGACCTTCGACCCGTTGGACCCCATTGAAGACACTATATGGAGAAATCCTGGAATGTTTTCCTCAAATTTATTTTCGCCTGAAGAAAGACTGAACATCTTGGATGACGTGGGGGAGATTAAATCATCAGGAAATTATAATTCTGAAGTGAACCACTCCTTTAAATACCTCGAAGTGGTCCGATTCGTTCTCGTCGTCCAGGTGAATCTTCTCCTGGAAGAGCGACAGCGGGTCTCGGATGAAGAGGTGTGCGATGTGCTGGGCCAGCAGTTTGTCAATGCCTGCAACAGTGCAAAACACAGCGGCTTGAAAACACCGAACAGAGCTGACGAGAGCACAGTGGTTCCACTCCATCGAGTGCCGTGAACCCAACACATCAGGGGCTTCCGCTGCGGGGAGTTATGGGTACGAGCCTCCAGGGTGTTTCCCCGAGAACTAATGGATCCCTTAGGAACGTTTTCCTGGTTGCGTTCGCGCCGCGAGGAGTAACTCTGAAGTGACGTGAGACTCGCTTGACTTTTATTGTGACGGGCTGAGAACGACAGAGCTCACATTCTCCATGTTCATTAGTTCACGATCTGTGTAATACGTTATTAGATAGAACTGTTATACATAAAGTAGACCGTAATGAACAGTTATTAGCGTATGGCGTGTGTTGATGTCCAGTGATGCTGAGCAGAAACACATAATCATGTTTAGCTTGTTCTCCTCAAAGTTGCGTTAAGTTTACTCCTCAGTGTAAAGGTTTAGAGCTTCATCTATCACTGTTTTACATGTTCGTAGAGTTCGTTTCTGGAGTAAATACCTTGATACCCGAATATAAGACGAGGTTTTTGTCCTAAAAATAGGCTTAAAGTCCCACTCCGATCATATTTTTGAGCTATTTTTAAACATTCCCAGTGGTCTTTAAATTATGATTATGCCATTTTTAGCCAAAATCACAAAAGCTGTGCCGTTTTCTGGGACTTCGCTTCAGCAGAGCGGCAGTAGCTCATTAGCAATTCGCCTCTGCGTTGTGGGCGGAGCCGTTGACATGGAGACGCCCCTCCCCCTCCCCGTTGCTGAGAGCTCTGTCTCTCCCGCTAGCTTACATCCCCAACCTGTCATTACCGGTGCAACAAAAATGGAGAACAATATTGGAGCTATCCAGCCGTACAGTTTTGAGCCAGATGCCAGCTCGGACGAGGAACAAGAGGACGTACATAGATCTAGTCGTCGTCTACAAGTGGATGTATCAGAATGGTATTGTTTTTGTAATCTCTTGAATTGACTATTTCAGGCCAATAACTCCTAAAAACATGTTAGTAAATAAATATGTTTGTGGACATGCTCCAAACATTTAGTCAGATTAACCTTTTTGAAGTTGATGGTGTCTTGATGGAAGGCACTGCATCCGGCTTCAAAAACAATTTATTGACGAAGCCCATTTTCTTCTCCTGCCAGTTGGTGAAACAGTCTTCTGTAAAGTGCTGAACGCAAACCGATGTGTGGTTTTTATCATTGCCGTGACCAAGGAACGTAAACCATCTATCTCTCACAGCAACATGTTTTGGTAAAGCATGAAAGCTAATACCACTATCTCTCCTCTTAGCATTGCAACCCGCTACCGCACATAGGTGTTGATCCGCCATCGTCTTCTCTACTCCGCAGAACCTGAGCGGGCGTGGCGGAGGGGAGTATGAGCTTGTGGCCCCGCCCAGTAGAGTTACTACGTCACAACTCCAGTCTATTTCAAACGGCATTTTAGCGTCTGCTACTGATTCACAGCCATTTGAATGTAGAAATACTCAGAAATACAACTTTGAGCTTATTTTTCTAAAGATATGTCCTCTAACATAAGAAAAATGCCACAAGAACATGTTAACACCTAGAAAAACATTATTTTCATCGGAGTGGGTCTTTAAAAATGGGGGGTTGTCTTATATTCAGGGTCATCTTGTATTCGAGTGGAGGAATCAATTGATAGCCTTTTTCTCCCGCGCTTGGAAAAAACGAGCGCGTCGCTTCCATGAGCGCGCATACCGCGCGCCTACATTTTGAAATAACGAACTTGAGCGCGCAAAAGACGCGATATGTGAACAGGGGGGGCGGGTCTCTGCTCGCTTGTCTCCGTCCGCTCTGGCATCCTCTGTGAACGGCGCTTTTTCTTGCTTTTTTTCCACAAAAATCGATTTTTCCACAAAAATAAGTCTGTAAAATGGGGGGGTCGTCTTATATTCAGGGTCGTCTTATATTCGGGTATATAGACTATAATCTGTGTTTACACAGCCTTTGTAAAAATGGCAGGTGCTTGTGTTTCGCGCATAGACAGTAAAAGAAATGGACACAGCGACCCCATAGATTTCAACAGTGAAGTCGATTAGAAGCATCTCTCCCTGATGGCTGAGCGACTGCGCAGACTCACACTGAGCTGGACGACGGAGATGTGACGTGAGCCTGTCTGACAGCTGTACGTCTTCTAGTAGCGGTGCCAAGAGGAATCTGAATCATCCCTTCTGAATCTCACAGAGCCGGAGAGAGTGAGTATGAGCTGTCCATGAGCAGCGGGAGCAACTTCATGACTCTCTATGGGCTTCTCCCTTGACTTTATGCCTCCACGTCCCCCGATTGCCTCATAGACAGTAAAAGATTGTCCGCGAGCTTCTCCTCCTGTCTATACGGTATTTTCTCTAGTGTGCGACAGAGAGGCGCGTGTTATGTCGCAATCGTTAGCCTATTTTTACAAAAACGGCTTCTACGGGGCCATAACATAAGATACAAGGTAATGGAGCCTTTTATACATTGTCGTGTTTCTTTAGAAATAAATAAATGGACAAATGGAGTCTTTAAACGCCTCAGATGTAAAGTTATTCGCTGGCAAAGTGACGCCAAAATGAATGGGAGTCAATGGAGTGCTAACAGCAGGTGAAGTTCTGCTACAATGGCGGCTCCCGCGAGGCTTAAGTGTCGGATTACCCCCTTGGTTTCGGGAGCGTTCGGCCAATCAGCGAACACTAAAGTCACTGTAGATCCTATAGTGCTGGTTACTTTAGACCGACTCTGAAGTATATGAGCTCGTTTATTTCCCCCATAAGGAGTTCCTACAACTAAAATCGTTCCTAGTTCCTGCAGTGCGAACGCGGCAATAACCGGGAACGTCCACTCAATAGTTCTAGGAACTATGAAAAGGTTCCTCCGGTGCGAAAGCCCCTATTATAATCAAAGATGCCGTCTACATTTGCTTTCGTCAACAGGACTAAGAAGTGAGGAAGGTCTTCTCACTGAGGTCGATGTAGACGGGTGTCAGTGTGTGGTTAAAAAAAAAAGAAAAAAAAAAAGACGTTTTTATAGCAGAACGTACATAAGACCGGGAACGATCGTCAGTGTGTGTGTTTACCTGCATCGAGGAGCTGTTTGTTGATCTCCTCATCGATGGTCAGCTCAATGTCATTGTATTTCTCGCCGCAGCAGGAGAGGTAGCTGTCAATCGAATCATACCTCGATTTATTGATCTTGAATTTGTTGTTTTTCAGCGGCTGCAAAGAAACAGATAGAGAATTAACTTTAAAGAGGCCATATGTTCACGTCACATTTATGTGCGCTTAAGTTCGTCCTTCTAAATGTGGATGTGCGACAAGCGCACACATGATAGAAAAAATCCCAACTTTTCAGACTAGAACCAACCAATCAGCTTCAGCCTTTCCGTAACACTGAAAGCTCAGTCAAGATGGAGGAACGACATTTTTAGACGCAACGTTAACGGCCCCAAACAAAGTCTTGATGTTGTTTTCTGGCTCTACTTGAACAGGTTTTCCTGCTTGAATGTTGATTATTTCCCCATATTCTCCATTGCTGCAGCTTCTCTCTTCCCAGTCTGTGTTCCAGTCCAAACCAGTTCCCTCGCTAACTTCCCTCCGTCTCGTTCACTCGGATGTGCGTCATTGCTTATGTTGCACGAGTGCCCACTACTGCCGGAGCCTGAATTTTGATGATTATGGATTACAGCTTATGAAAACCTTTTCACAATATTCTAAATTTGAATTTGGGGTTTTCATAAGCTGTAAGCCATAATCATCACAATTATAACAAATAAAGGCTTGTAATATCTCACTTTGCATGTAATGAGTCTATATAATATATTAGTCTCACCTTTTAAGCTGGGGATGAATTTAAATATTTTTGCTTATGGATATAAAATGTTGCCAACAGTATAAATAAATTAACTATGTATTCAAGACCTTTGTTAACATTGTTTTCCTAATATACAATAATATCCTTTAAAGTAAAATAGTATTTAATTTTTACTAAATTAAAGATAAATTCTGCCAATTCCTTCCAGAAATTCAAAAAACAAATGAGTCAACACTTCTTTCCCACTTTTACAAAAGGAACATAAATCGTCAATATCAGAGTATCTTGCAATTAATGATTTAACAGGATAAATCGTATGCAAATTTTTTTTAAATGTATTTCTTTGGTTTTATTATTAATGCAATATTTAAATGGGATTAACCAAGCAGTCTTCCAATTAATATTATCAATAGAGTTTCAAAAAAATTTTTATTTTATTTTGTATTTGAAATATTGTACAAATATATTTATTATTGCATTTTTTAGCAATCAATTTAATGCCATTTAAAATTAATTTTGGATTTATCATTAATGTGGAGTTAAATTGAATATGACTTTTGATAAGATGAATCAGAGTAGGGGAAATAGCTTTAATGACAGAATTAAATTCTTAAAAATGCACAGGAAAACTATGGGTTCGCATAAATTGTTCGTATGTTAAAATATTTCCATAATTATCAAACATATTCATAAGATGATTAATATCCCTGTAAAACCAATTCCTTAAAAATAAGGATTTATTGGTCGCGTTGTAACCAACAGTTTAATAACACTTTGATCTTTTTTAATCTAGAGAAGTTTAAACTTTGACATCCATGCTCTTGTTTTCCTCATAGTAATGACAGTGACGCAAATTGTAGCAAACCGGAAATTCTCGTGCGCACGCATTACAATTTCCGGTTTGCTATGATTTAGCGTGAAACAATTGTATTTTTTCAACAACAACAAAAAAAAAAAATCACAATATTTTGAATTAGGGATGGACCGATACCACTTTTTGCAGAACGAGATACCGATACTGTAACCGATCCCTGAATTTTCACTGCATTTGTAATTTTTAAATGTATTAGTAATAATCATATTAGTTGGCTTAATTTGTTCATCAAATATATATTTCTTTCAATTATTTGCATGCTTAAATAAGCCTGCTAAAATGCATTGTATGAGCTTTTGTTACTGTACATTCTACTGCTCTATCATATTTTATATTTCATTGAATAGCACAGCTTATATTTAGACTAGAGCAGCTCCAGAAATGTCAGTGCTGAGAATTGGGTCAGTGGTACAAATGTTTAGACACCAGTGAAATATAAATTATTGAATCAAATTTTGATACAATAAAAACTGCCAGCCTAATTAATGTGAATTTAAAACATTATTAAAAGCTAAGCAGTCAGCAACAAAATAAGAACGAATAACCAACTTACAAATAAATACAACAGAACAAAGAGAGGCTACAAATTACTGTATAAATTAAATATAGATGGATCTTTTGAAAGTTGAAAAGGGTAGACTATTTAGTCAAGAGCAGTGAGTAATTTGTCCATTCATTGTTTGATTAACATTAAAACAGCAGTGGGTTTATTGAAGTGCTGCCCCTTTAAGACCGAACGCACGGACCCCATGGCTACGTTCACTTGATATACCTGACTTTGTTTACTAGGATACTCGCAAATATGGGCATTTTTACATCATTTTGTGTGAATTCCTCCACACAAGCACAAGACGTGAAAGACAATTCAATTCAGGATCCGCGCGCTGACACGCTGGTTTCCGGGGCGCGCGCTTTGGATGTTCATGAAACTTATTGACTGCAAACGTCCAGTAATAATGTAGGGAATCACTCGTTATACATAAATCAGGTAACAGGTCATGTTTTACTTTACTTGATTTAGTTGTCATCCAAATAACACGTGCTGAGTGAACAATTTAGCAATCAAGAGCATTCAACAGAACTGCGCTGTCTCTCGTCAGTTAACGTTAATAATAAGCTAGTACATGCTTGTTTTATTTTATTTGCCATTGACATCCGACTAAACTACAAACCTTCCACTGTTGTCTGTTTAAAGAGATGTGCTCGACCAGCTCGCGTGTCTGTGCGCTCAATCCACTGCGCGCGCGGTTTTCTCTGATGATCAGCTCGCGCACCACAGCTATGCGTTACTATACACACGCTGCCTGGTAGGCCTATCGGTAATTGGTATCGGAGCATTTTTACGAACTACATGAGCTCGGTATAATTGGAGTCATTTCTAATGTAAAACACAAACGTTTTTACCAACTATAAGTTGGTAAAATAATCATTAATCTTCATAACTTTGTTGTATAAGTGTCTATACACTCTTTTAATCGACGATTGCTCATGTGAGCAATAATATTCTAACGTTAACGTTATATTTAAGAATTTTAAATATTTAAATTTTTTAAATCCCTTAAAAAAGTACAAATATTTGCAAATTGTAACTCATTATTTTATAAGACCATAAGAATGTTTTTTTTTTTGTCATTTTCTGGTGGGTGAACATGTTTTAAGAGCCGTTTTCTACGGAGGTATTCTCCCCTCTTCCTTTTGTCCTGCCGGAAAACCTTCCCCCCGCAATTTTCTGAACAGTCATTGGTGTACGTTAGAAACTCACGTTGATTTCTTTGAAACGACTGGCTCTGGAAACATAGGATTGGTCGGAATCGAAAGAGGAGGAGGCAAAGATGACACGGATATATATATATGCCGTGACCTGAAAGTTTTTATTTATAGAATTTGCGAGAAAAGGTCAAGTGTCCGGAATACCGTGATGTCCGGAATACAGTGAGTCTACGTTACATATGAAGTAGACTCGCTCCAGGTCTGTTTACTTCCTGTCTCTATGAAGCCCCTCCTTCTGAAAGCACACTGTGCTCTGATTGGTCGGCTGGAGCAGTGTGTTGTGATTGGTCGAGCGCTTCGAGTGTGTTTGGGAAATGTCCCGCCCCTTCCCATAACCGCCAGTTTAACACACTACTGACTAACTCAACCAGGCCCCGCCCCTTTATTCTGCGTATGAATTATTATAATGAGGAATATTGTGACGTGTTCGTTCCCGGGAGAAACTCAAGACTACAATGGAGGCGTTTCAGGAGTTCAGAAACACTGACGCTGATATAGAGAAGAACTGGAGCTTTATCAGAGAGATGAACATGGGGAAAGCACAATAGGTCCTCTTTATCGTCTGTGGTTTAAAAAAGAAAAACCCAGAGTGATTTGAAACTAAGAAAAATGCTTCGCCTGGCTGATATATTTGTCTATTTTGAGATATTGGCCTTGGCTGATAACACTCGTCTACAATTTAAGTCGTCGTCTGCTTCAGAGATAAACCACACTGTTTATTATGTATTTTGATGTGAAGAACATTTCCAGACACAATTAATTGTCTACTGTAAGATATTTCAGGATATTTACATTTCACGTCTATGTATATTGTGTTGACGGTACTTGTCACTTGTATTAGCTCGTTAAAATCAGCTAAAGGGTATAAATATATATATATATATATATATATAAATCTAATTTATTATGAAATAAACAGCAAAAAACCATTATGTATATAGTTTAGTCCTCCTCAGTGTCTTGTCTAGTCTCTTGTATTCATTACAAGAGAGCATCTCTTGTCTGCAAGCATTGATGTACTTGATTGTTATGATTGCATCATCCATGATTATTAGGAATAACATGATGCAATATCATATATGACACAATACCAGCTTCAGATTGCATTATTCATTGTTTGGCCTAAAAAGCAAGTACTGTCCAAACTAGGGCTGGACCCAAATATTCGAATATTCGTTCGGTGGGTTGGTATTCGATTTGAAAATGTGACATTCAAATATTCAGGGTTTTTTGGGGGGGGTTTTTGCACACCTGGCAACCACCTCGAAACGGTTCTCATTTGCGCTTGAATATGTTTTACACTATAAAATCTGGTGAAATATAATACTTAACATATAACTTCGTTATAGCTACTTAATAAATATATTTGCTTCTTCTTGGACTACTAAAAGTGTTCCTGCAACGGGTGTATTCTCTGGCTAGAGCAGAACAGTGGAGTGTGTGTGGGCAGAAGTGCCTGAGCTTGTGTTTTGGGTTAAGCTGCGTTGCTTTGACATTGTGGAAAATAGAATAATAGAAACAAAATGTATTATCCTTTTTACCCGTTATTATCAATCTAAATTAATCTACTGCGAAATATTAATAGAAATTTGTGATGTTGTTATTGAAATTGTTATTGCTACCGTGTTCTTTATTTAGGCTCTTAGCCTCTTTATTTAAATTTCGTTTTTCTATATTTAAATTTCGTTTTTATTTATTTAAATTTCGTTTTTATTTATTTAAATTTCGTTTTTATTTATTTAAATTTCGTTTTTATTTATTTAAATCTACCCGACTTTGTGAGTGAAAATATTATAAGACTATACCTTATTAAAAATATTGCTTAAGTTAAAAGACATGTGTGTGTTTTATATGCGTGTCCATTCTCGGAGCATATAAGCCCTGCTCGCGTGAGGCGCGCCGCTTCTTTATTTAAATCTACCCTACTTTGTCAGTAATTTGTTAGTGATAACCAATATTTTAATAAGTCTTCTAATATTTTTCTCACTAACAAATTACTGACAAAGTAGGGTAGATTTAAATAAAGAAGCGGCACGCCTCACGCGAGCAGGGCTTATATGCTCCGAGAACGGACACTGCACTAGTGATATAAAACACACACAGGTCTGTTAACTTAACCAATATTTTAATAAGTCTTCTAATATTTTTAAGTTAACAGACCTGTGTGTTTTATATCACTAGTGCGTGCAGTGTCCGTTCTCGGAGCATATAAGCCCTGCACGCGTGAGGCGCGCCGCTTCTTTATTTAAATCTACCCTACGTGGTCAGTAATTTGTTAGTGAGAAAAATATTACACTACCTTATTACAAATATTGCTTAAGTTAACAGACCTGTGTGTGTTTTATATCACTAGTGTCCGTTCTCGGAGCATATAAGCTCTGCTTCCTGCTTGCACTGTTCTGTAGTTTATTAAAAGTTTATTAATTCTGAACGTGTCGCGTCTCGCCTGTCAATATCTATATTGCACCAAATACGACACTGCACTCCTTGTGAAGTCGTTTGGATGAACGGTTCTCGAAATAATCAAAATGCAAATGGACAGACAGATATATAGAGATTCCGAAGCTTCGAATATTCGATGTTCATTACTACTGAAGCTCAAAAAATGGTATTCGGACCAGCCCTAGTCCAAACCCAGACAGAGTTATTCACAGATGCCATATCTTTATTACTCACTTATCCTCCGCTATTCTCAAGTCAACGGTCAGTTAGTAAAGTTTGACTACATTTATTTCAGAAGCAGTTTGCCTGTAGACCAGTTGATATCAGAAGCCGTCAGATCTTCCGACAGCCTTGTTAATTATTACACATGCAGCTTTTATTGTCATTTGACATTAACATTTGTACTTAAAGTTCTCACTTTGTAAATTCTGAAAAGGCACAATTTGGATGAGATTAGCTTCTTTTTAAATGATTAACGGAGTCCTTTCATGTATGATTCACACAGGTCTGGGATCTCGCTAATTATTACTGAAGTGCGGTGGTCTATTGTTTGGAGGAGGGCGTTACAGATCATCATGTAGTCTGTAATTATAAAATTATAGAATTTAGTGAAGGAATTAAGCCCAAAAAAACTTGAAGGGATAGTTCGCCCAAAAATTTAAATTACCCCATGATTTACTCGCCCTCGAGCCATCCTAGGTGTTTATGGACTTCAAAGCAGAAACAGGCATTAACTGCCATTATAAAGCTTGGAAGAGCCAGGACATTTTGTAATATAACTCCGACTGTATTCGTCTGAAAGAAGAAAGTCATATACACCTAGGATGGCTCGAGGGCGAGTAAATCATGGGCTAATTTTCATTTTTGGGTGAACTATCCCTTTAAAAACAGTAGGTTATTCGCTCCATAGTGCAAGAAACCCAGAAAAGGCCAATTTGAAAAGGAAACTATTCCTTTATGAATTTGGCCAGAAGTCTTGAGCATTAGTTGTGTTTGTGTGAGGTGTGTGGTGTCCTCACCTCCAGGCCTCTCTCCTCTCGGGTCCGGTCGTCCACAGACGCAGAGATCACACCCCAGCGGCAGTCGATGTCTGAAACCAGTCCGCGATAGAGCGGAGAGGCGGCACTGAGAGCCATCTGCACAAACACACATCAATACTGAACACTGGGCCTTTCTGGAAACATTAACAACACAGACTCTTAAAAGGTTGTAAAACTGCTAAGCACATAAGACTGTGAAAGTGATGACGGTGGGTTATACATTACTTCATGTTTAATGGGAAAGAGGGTCAATTTTCAACTAGGGTCAAAGTTAGAAGATCCTTTTTTAAAACTACAATTAAATTCTATTCAATTCAATACAATTTGGATGTTATTTTTTAACAGTATAAACAGGAATTTGAATACAGTGGTGAATCATATTTTTTTTCTGTGATGCAAAGTTGTACTTTCTCTGCTGTCCCACTTTATATTACATGTCTTCAACTACTATGTACTAATATAAATAAATTATAGATAAAAAATATAGATAACATTATCAACGCACGCACCCCATCCCAGATACGTCATCTTACATTGCATAAAGTTTAGTTTATGATCATGATGCAGTGATGAATTCTATTAGAAGTGGTTGAAATGCACAGAAATTCATGATTATCAGAGCAAAAAACTGCCCATGGGTTTTGTCTTATATTTATATGAAATGATATAGTTTAGCCATATCACACAGCAAGAACAGTTTATTTCTGAATATCAACACGATTGCAAATGTGATATTAATTTATACAACAATACAATAAACAAGAATTTAATATTGTTACTTTTTAGACAATATTGTCAGTTTTTGACAGATTTTGGCCAATAAAATAGTTCAAAACAAAGCCACAGCAGAACTGTTGCGTGTCTCAGAGCAACACACAGCGGTTTTACCGAATCGAGAAACTCATAAAGACGGTCACTTGCTTCGTTCCTGAACGAATCAACCGTTTGAATGAGTCGGGTGAATGAATGATTCAGTGACTCACTCATAAAGACACTGAACGAATCAACCGTTTGAATGAGTCGGGTGAATGAATGATTCAGTGACTCACTCATAAAGACACTGAACGAATCAACCGTTTGAATGAGTCGGGTGAATGAATGATTCAGTGACTCACTCATAAAGACACTGAACGAATCAACCGTTTGAATGAGTCGGGTGAATGAATGATTCAGTGACTCACTCATAAAGACACTGAACGAATCAACCGTTTGAATGAGTCGGGTGAATGAATGATTCAGTGACTCACTCATTAAGACACTGAACGAATCAACCGTTTGAATGAGTCGGGTGAATGAATTTCTTAGCCAAAATTTATGTGCGATTAATTATATAAAAAAATTAATCACTTGGCAGCCCTAATTTAAATTAATCACTTGATACAATGCACTTATTATGTACTTACATGTTTTTACACTGTACTTATATTAAAAAAAAAAAAACCTGAATGTAATTACAGCTATAATTAATTTCTGTAATTTCATCTATAGTTGACCCCGGCTTAACCCATCCATACCAGCAAACGTGCGCAAGTACCTAACTTCTTTTAATGCAAGTACATAGTAGTTAAAGACACCTAATATAAAGTGTGACCATCTCTGCTAACTGCCTTGTATGCGTGTATATGGGTAACACTTTATTTTACAGTGTCCTTGTTGCATTTGTTACATGTACTTACCGTAGTAATAACAGTAAATTATGCATAATTACATGCAACTAACCCTCAACCAAACCCTATAGTAAGTACATGTAGTTGCTTAATATCACTCAGTACTTAAATATATAATTACACTGTAACTTGGTTTCTAATTGCGGCTCTTGTTGCGCTTTATCTCCTCAGCCATTTTCATCGTTGCCTTTGGCCCTCTGTTGGAATATAACATGGACGGCATGCTCTGTCCTGAGACTTCGCATCTTGCATTCTCTTACCACTATTGGACAGAAAACGGCCAGCTGGTCATAAAGGTAGCGCGCCTCCCTGATGCTGCAAGCCTGGAAGGTCACCTGTAACATCGAGCCCATGTCAGTCACATGACCCGGATATTCCCAGAGCGAGTGGATGAGAGTGAGCGTGAGCTGACCTGCAGGCAGCAGTTGCCCATGCCGAAGCCCATGGCGTCCATGTAGATGTGATCGGGCAGGGCTGCCCGCGCCGCCTCTCCGTCGTCCTCCGGGAACGCCTCCGCAAACGGACATGCCGTGTTCTTATCCTTAAAAACTGAGGAGGACACGCAAGTCAAAAGAGGAGCCATTCAAAATGCGACAAACCATTAGGGCTGGGTAGTGACACAAATTTCACAATTCGATTCGGATTCGATTCGATATTGATGATTTTGTATATCAGGAACAATACATGGCAAATTTTCTCAAGGAAAACAAATCTCTTCACTAATGCTGTAAACCCAAAATCCTGCTTTGGAATTAGGGATGCCTCGATACCACAATTTTGGCTTCGGTACGATACCAGAACCTAATACCTCGGTATCGATACTAAATCGATACCACAGGATAAAAAATAAAAAAACGGCCTCAAAATTTAAGTGACACTTAAAAAACACTGCTTGAAACTCTCCACTACCAAATGTGCAAAGAAAAGGTATCAAAATGTAAAAAATAATAATATTAATAAAAATAATTCAGTCAGGGACTCAGGGAACATACAGTAGGTTAAATTTTGAAGAAAAAAAACCCCCTTAAAATTATACATTTAAAATAGGTTAATATCTATAATAATAGATTAACATATAATAATAATAATAGAATAATGAAATGACATTGTAAACCATTAGCTGTCATGCATCAACAGAGAATTATCAACATTCATTGCATTTATTCATCTTGGTTTGGTTACTGTTTGGGTTCATATTAATGCATTCCATAAAGTAATGTTAACATGCTAAACATGTATTAGTATATTTAATTTTCGCCAGTGCGGCACTAATATGCCATTCATTTTACTATCACTAATACTAAAATTAATATTATTCAAATTTGTATTCTTTATTCATTCAAATCCAATTAATATATGTTTGTTTGAAAGTGCAAAAATGATGAGACCTAAACTTAATTGGTTCTAGCGTGTCATGCAAGCAGATTTGAGCTTTCGTGTTTACCGTATCATATAATTGATAAGCTCTTATGTATGTGCGCTGTTCAATGTTCAATAAAAGTCTAAATTAATCAGTTGAATGATGGACTAACCTGTCGATCTCTGAACTCTTTGAACAAGTCAAGATGAGCAACTGACAAGTGCTTCGGCAGATTCGATGTGTTGCCTCCCCGTTTGCAGAGTGGTGAATTGAGATCTGTTTCTTTACTTTTCTCATTACTTTTGTTGGCAAAGTAATGCCTTATTTCACTAATACATTACTGTTCTCTCTATTTATTAATTTCGGGCGTGTAGAAATTCGAATGAGCTTCGTTTGATCCATCGTGTTCCTCTGTTGTCACCGTTTGCCGGTTTCGCGTGACCCGCGTCAGTTTAGGTAGCGCACTGCCGCCTAGCGGTGAACTTCGAAACAGCAGCGCATCAAATACCGAATTGAACAAAATTATGATATTGTACAGTTTGAAATATAATATATACCGGTATTTTTGCAGTACCGGTATACCGCGCATCCCTATTTGGAATCAATACGATTTTGCAAGACGTCCCTTATGCTCACCAAAGCTGCATTTATTTGATAGAAATACAGTAAGAAACAGTATTATTGTGAAATATTAGTATACTATTTTCAATGTTATATATATATTAGGTGTGTAACGATACACGTATTCGTATTGAACCGTTCGGTACGAGGCTTTCGGTGCACATTTTTAAACCGAACCATTGGTTGGACCATTTTTCCTGCCGACCAAAATTTCGTTATTTCAAATGTAGGCGCGTCACGCGTGGCAAGCGCGCTCATGATGTAAGAGATGCTTGCGTGACCACAACATTGCTATTGTGTTTGACGGACCGTTTATCAGTTTGGACCAATGCAGCGCGAGCCGATCTTCATCATCAGCACTGGAACTAACTACACAGCCAAATCCAGTCAAGAAAGCATTTGAGTTCGCCACTGAAGTAATAACATCGCTGCGAGATCTAGAGAGAAACATTCACATTTCTCCGTTATTAACGGATCAAACAGCGCTGACGTGGAAACCAGGAAGAAACATTGTGCCATGAATGAACTATCCAGTGTCCACAGATCAGCAACATTCACCATGGGTTTACTGTAGTAACACTACTAACTGTAACCATGGGAGTTTGGCAGGAATAGTCGCTATAATGCTTTCAAGTAACATTACCTCGTTTTATTTTGACATTATGAATACAAATGCTGACCTCAAATGTTAATCTGAACTAAAATAAACCTTTGTTTATAACTACTACAATATTACATTTCATTTTGTCCAAGGAGCTGTTTTGTTTTATAAGCTCCTAAGAAAAGTCAAGTATAGCTCCATCATTGCTCAAAGTAAAAAATATCATACTTTATGATGTTAGTTTTAATAAAAAAAGAATTAAAAAAAATTAAATCAAGGAAATTTTTCTGGCATTTCTTTCTTTTTGCTGTATCGAAAACGTACCGAACCGTGACTTTTGTGAACCGCTACACCTCTAATTTATATATATATTAGGGCTGTCAGTTAAACGCATTATTAATGGCGTTAACCCAAACCCATTTTAACGGCGTTAGTTTTTTTATCACGCGATTAACGGTCTTTTTGGCCTAGCAAACTTTGTAGTTTTTTCACATGCTTTTGCAACAGGACGCGGCGCTGCGCTGTGAAACCCATTCATTTCAATGGCTTGCGCCGCGCGAGGACGTTTTGTTGCTTCGTCGACCAGAGCGCGAGACGCCGAAATGGACGCCAATAAGATTCTGAATGGAAAGTTTACTTTTAAAAAGTTGCCAAATGGTTCCATTGACGAGACCAAAGTGATCTGTGTGTTTTGTCGTTGTGAACTGAGCTATCATCATCGCAGCACGTCCAGTCTGAAATACCACTTGATGATGGCCAAGCACACACACACACACACACACGCACACACACACACACACAGCTGATGCGAATTCTCCGCCCCCTCGTCAATATCAGGACCTCGTCAGTATTTCTTTCACTCTTTTATTGATGGACAGTGTTACATTGAGTGAGAGATTATTTGCTCCAAGTGAGAATGTTAGTGTGAAATTGAACACAGTATATGCCAATGTTGTTTTCAATAAAAAACATTTGCACAAAGCAAGCCGATCCACTTTTCCATGTTGATAAGAGCATTAAAATGAGAAAAAAAAGAATGGGACAAAAAGAAATCAAGAGACATTTAGAATAGATAAAAATGTGCGATTAATTGCGATTGAATATTTTAATCGTTTGACAGCACTAATATATATATATATATATATATATAAATATATAAAAAAATAAGTAATTTATTCCTGTGATCATCATTACTCCAGTCTTCAGTTTCACATGATCCTTCAAAAATCACTTAAATATGATTTGATGCTCAAAAAACATTTATGATTATTGTCAATGTTGAAAACTTTTTATTTTATTATTTAATTAAATTCTAATCCCCCCCCCCCCCCCCCCCCCCATCCATCCCATTTTGGACGTGTAATTGAAAGCTATACATTTTAAACATTTATTAGGCTTCAAAAAATCTAACTTTAAATTTAAGTGAACTTGAAACAATCCCCACATGACCCTTCCTGACTAACACATACAGAACAATATACAGTCTCAGTACAGCATAAGCAGATCAAATGAAACCAGACATATAGCGTTTATTTTATTTCCAGAGCAAGATTGACTTACAGAAACAACTCTTAATTTCTATAATTTCCAAAAAAACTAATCAAAAGACTTACTCGGTACGTTAATCGCCACCTTCTCGCCCCTGCGGTGGCGTATGTTTCTGGTCAGCGTGCTGAAACACACAGTGGTGCATTAGTCAAAGCGTCCGTACCTCATTCAGCTGCATACAGTATTTAGGAACATTACACAGTCACACAGTGCAGGACGACTTACGTGCTCAGAGTTAGTGGCGGGTCGAAATCTGCAACTTACTGTAACCTTTTTTATTTCGAGCAATATAGTGACATATAACAAAGGCAATAAGAAGCATTTGATTTTTAACAACATAAATCAATCAATTGCTCGAAACGGAGTGGGAAGAAGTCGGACTTATTTAGACCCACCCGGTCTATTACAGTTAAAGGAAAAACAAAAGAAGCTGCTTCCTTAATTGTTGACATCATCATAACTCTCAATTACAATTTTATTTATACACATAAAAAATAAATTAAAACACAGCATATCTTAAATACACACCATATATTGTAGCAATTATAGTAATACCAACAATGGTAATCTGAATACCTGCACAGCCTATGAACACACAACCTCATCCTTTCCTCAGGTCATTCTGACCCGAAATTAAAAAAGATAAAATAATCATTTTTAAATTGAGTGTTCATCGGAGGGGTCCAAGACTGTCACACTTGAACCACGAATACTTAAAAAAAAAAAAGAAGTAATGGTTTCGAGGAGTTTTGTGGTTGAAATTTAAAAAGTAACAAATCCTTTTCTCTCGCGGGTCAATTTACCCCCTTAGGAATGCTTCAATACACAGAAAACCCTAAAAATGCTCCAAATTCTGAATTAAACCGCTAAAACGTGATGAAAATATTATTTTATAATGTCTTTAGGACCCAGCGGAACAGCTCATCTGCTCCATATAGAGCTATAAGGCCATCTAGAGTCATGAAGTATCATCTTATATTATTATTTTTCCACAAGAGGGCAAAGACACTCAATGTCAGATATTCTGAGCTGAATTAAAAGTTATTTTGAATATAAGTTGAAAGAAAGTGAGGAATGTGCTTGAATTACTATTAATTTATTATTTATTGATCAAATCTAGTAATTTAAAGGTAAATATTTTTTTTTTTATAATAATCAAAATTAAAAAATAATCAAAATGAAATAAAATATTTAAAAAATTAAGTAGGCTATAATATTAGGGCTTCCGGTCATTTTGCCCCACGAGGGAAAGAAGCGTTCCACAGTGCGAGGGAAGGATGAGGGTGAACACGAGCAAACACCAGGGGCCGGTGTCACAAAGACAGACTTTGACTACGGCTTAGATATAGTAGATAGTCAGACTTCAGATAGACGTCTAAATCAGACCGTTGCACTAAGCACTGAAGACTGACTATCTTAAGGAGGACTGCACTGCAATGCATTCTGGGTAAAATAAGACACTTTTCAAAACAAAAACAATGGCGGATGGAGTGAGCGCATTCAGCCGCTCAGTGCAGTTTACCCCAGAGGGAGATATGTGTGTGTGTTGGAGGAGTGTAACAGTCACAAGGACATTTAACTTGGGAGATTTAGCGGAGAATGTAGTAACAAGAAGAAATGTTTAATTTGGACAAAGATTGCTACGACAGTAGGGGTGTAACGATACACAAACCTGACGGTTCGGTTCGTCCAACGGTTTTGAGGTCTCGGTTCGGTTCATTTCGGTGGGGTGGGGGGGTTTAGAAAGCTAAAATTGCTTTTATTTTTTATTAAACAGTGCTTTAATGAACAAATTGTGTCCTTGTCTTTAAATTAATTCAATTACAAGTAAACGTTTCTCAAGGATAACAAAATTATCTGCTAATGCTGTAAACTACAGCCCTTACTTGCACATTACTATAACATTAAAGCTTAACAACAGAGCCTAGACTTTTAACCTAAATGATATAATAATAATCAACACTCAAATAACAAATTGTATGAAAACATGTAAACTGCACATAAGGCAATTTTTGCATTAACATGTTTTTACTCTAATTTGTTATTGTTATATAATAATTTACACAGTTGCTGTTATTTTCATGACAACTATTTTAAACATACATTAAATAATCACGATTTCATAAACAGGTTAAGTAAAATATAATATATAGGCTAATATATAGCATTTATTTAGTGAAAGAGTTAGCAAACCAGCAAGCTGTGGACACTGAATGACTTGCCGGAGGTAAATATAAAGCTATGTGAAAAACTAAGCGTTTTATTGACGTATTTCCGCTGTTGAAACACTGATTGAGTGTTTACACGAGTTATGATGCCTTTCAGTAAGTATTAGGGATGGGACGATTACCGGTTTCACGATAAACCACGCTAAAATGTACTGACGGTTAGTATTATCGTTTAAAATTTAATTATCATTAAAACCGTGTTTGATTATCGCGATTTTAATAACTCACTGTAAATCCTGTCAAGCCAGCAACAGTCTGATGCAGGCGCAGCGCGCAATGTTTTTTTTTTTTTATTCGAGAAGGAATGGCGGAAGGCAGTGAGATTTTTCGTGTTCGGGAGATTTTCCAGCCTTTTAAGAGGACGACATCTGAGGTGTGGTCATATTTTGGCTTTTACAAAAGTCCTGAGGGAAACTTGATCGAGGATGGTCACCCTGTCTGCCGAACAAAAAGTCGCAGCAATAGAAACACTTCAAATCTGCCGAGTCGTCTTGTGTGAACATCACCCAGTGTTGTATAGCGAACGCAAGGCAAGTTAACTTTGACCTCAATACCAAAACTACGTCTGGGAAATAATTGGGCACAAAATGTTGTTTTGAGTTGTTGAAATATTTTATCTCACTTGAAATAGACGTGAAGCTTCCGCGAAGAAAAGTTCGCAGCAAGTGGCTTTGAGCCAAAGACGAACGAACAACTTCAAGCAAGACTATTATTAAGAGTGACATTTTAAGGGATAGTAATGTATAGATTCATTGTACCCCCCCCCCCCCCCCCCCCCCCCCCCCCCCACCCACCCCACCCCACACCCCACCCCACCCCCACACCCCACACATAATTATGGGGACATATTGAATTGAGATGAATGTGTTAAATCTTAACGTTACCTATTTATAAATCCATTTTGTACAGCGTACAAAACAATCGTCCAGACAATATGATCACAACAATATTATCAAACTCTCTAAACAATAAATCAACTCTGATTTCATTTTTAATACAATCAAAAACGGGAGACGCAAGACGGCAAGTTGTATTTTTGAAACAAGAGCGCGCGTCCGTTGTGATACATGAATGTGCGCGCTGTGTAATAATGCGTTGCTATTGACGACGGTCATTATAAAGAAGGAAATGGCACAGACTAAAATCTTGCTTAAAAATCTGCATAGAGCTGCTAATTTATTTGTTGTTTGTTGATTTTCAAATATAAAACTTGTTGAAATGTTTTAAGTGTGAGCATCAGTTCTTTTTGAACACTTTCATCTCATTTTAACAAAACCGTGATAATATTGATAATCACGATAATTTTGGACACTATAATCGTGATGTGAAATTTTCATACCGTCCCATCCCTAGTAAGTATACTGTATCTTTCAACATACCTTCGGGTGTCCATTCATGTTTATTCTGTAACTGAGGAAGAGATGATCCGCATGCACACAGTGATATCTGTCACGCCACATCTAAGAGCGCCAAAACGCCATTTATTGTTTGCATTTCGTGATCAAATAGACATAATTTGAAAGATTACACCTTGCTTATTATCACAAGTAACAAAACACTGAGCTTATTGCGATTATATGTGGTTAATGGTGGTTAGGCAACAGCCCTGTATTTGTTGTGTACACATAACACATGAGGTGAATGAGCCGGGGCTGGGCAGGGGGCGGGGCTTGTTCGGTTCGCCATGAGAGTATCGCGATACGTATCCTGGGTGGTGTATCGCGGTTTTTCACCCCTATACGACAGTTAACAGCGTTAATCCGACCGTTGAGCGGAGCGTTACAGACGTACAGAAAAGATACAAAAACTTGGTACAAGTAGGTTACTGCGGTCACTAAAAACGCTTTCCCTTCTCATAGCTCTCTCCATAACGTCATCAGCAAACCACAAATTATGAGCCATTTTCCCTTTTCTTTCAGCTGTTTGTAGTGTAACTGATTGTTACTGCTGGGGCCGGTTTCAAAGAGCTGTTTTAGACCGGTCTATCCACCTTATTCCTGCGCCCCATGACGCTTTGCGCGAATTATGGGTGTAACTTCCATTAAGCTGTAAACAATCAGTGAAAGGCTCGCTCTATGAACGCAATACGTTAAAAAAGTGGCACAATGAGATGACATTAATCGACTCCCCCTTCAACCATCGAACATTAAAGGTCCAATATGTAATAATTTTGTAATAAAATATCCAAAAATCACTTGCACAGTGTGATATATTTCCTGCAGTTGTGTACTTACAATATCCCAAAAGTCTCCAAAGATTTTTTATTTCAGAGAAATTCCAATTTTAAATAAGTGGCCGTCCCGGCCAACAAATGTCGCCTGTCAATGACGCAATATCCGCCTTAACCTCGGTTTCCGCTCGCACTGCCATGGCCATGACGTAACCATGGCGACAGACGTGGACAACTGGTAGTGCGTAACGTTTAGCGGCACGCAGTTCTTGTTTCGTTCAAACAGACCATGGCAAGCAGACTCCGGGACAAACAAGGAGAACTAAAATGAGGATCAATATCAGCGTGGCGTTTTTGAGATGCCTAGAGCTCCACGTCCGCGACTAACTTGGACTCGACAGAGCTTCACGAGTCACGACTTGACAGCTTTATTAGACAGGTGAGCAAATGTACTACATACAACAAATCAATGTTATAACGTTAGCTCAACATGATGAAATGTTAGAATATGGTCAGTATGTTATTCTAATGTTGATCTAGCTTACCTTGCTAGTTTCGTATAGCAAACGAACTAACACGTAGAATAACGTTATAACTTTCAACACACATTTAAATGCAGTTTAGTGTGATAGTGTTACATTAGACCAAGTGAAGCAGCGCTGCATTACCTCACAAGTTTAATTCGTCTAATAAACTGACCTGTGTGTGTAATCCAGCTCTAAATGTCCTTATTCCTTTCTATTCGCGGGACTCGCGTGTAAGTCCCGCGGATAGTATCACTTACAGTGTTATGAAGCAGGTCGCGATTGCTAAAGAGACGATATCTGTCTCTTTCGCAATCGCGACCTGCTTCATAACACTGTAATGTTAAAAAACATGAAGGTTTGCACTCATCCATAAACATTATTATATCCATCAGCTTGACAGCAAGTCCCATCATTCAGCTGTTCACTGCGTCATACACATACGCCTTTGTTATTGTTGGAAACTGTGCCCTCTTGTGGCGAAAAAACTTACATATTGTATCTTTAAAATGAAATTTAAAAGTTTAAAAGAATCAACAAGGACGGGTACTTTCAACAGACCAAAAATAGCCCCAAACGCGCGAGTCTTTGGTTAAATATCACTGTAGTAGGCAAATATACCTATTGTATAACAAGCCTTAATCAAAAATGTTCATTAACTTCAGCATTACGTGACACTATATCAAAGTGATTTCCGTCATTTTTGACAGATTATAAATTGCATTTACCTGTGAAAACAAACCTGGAAAGAAACGTGAGGATTTGAGGAGAATAACGAGAGATTCTTCGTGCATTCCAGTGAATTATTATCGTAAATTAAATTCGGGAGAACAGACCACAGATGTGCCGTATATGTTGTACTTTTTCATACTTTTACAGCGGATTGCAAAGGAAAAAATAAAAATCATCATGAGGAAAAGAAAGCAGCGACTGAAAAGAGCTCTTGCCGTAGATATTCTTGTTATAACATGTCACATGTCACGTTATTCTCATGATGTCTGAAAATAAATCATGAAGGAAAATTGACAGCTCATCCAGTCAAACTGGCGGATCCGCTTTATTTGTAGGGCAACCTTATGATTTGAAATGATTCGTTTCAGCCTTTTTGAATGGAAGTTCCCCAAACTGGAAGTGCCGCCCATAATTCAAAACGCAGTAAGGTTGTCAGGAATAAGGTGGATAGTGTTAGACAAGTCTAAAATGTGCTCATAGACTAGTCTAATGCTAGATTGATACTGTGAAGCAGCTTTGATACAATCTGTTTTGTGAAAAGCGCTATATCAATATATTTGACTTGACTTAATGCAAGTTAGACTGTTTCACTAAAATAAAGACTGACTTAATTTAGACCAAAAAAATTAGACCCCTTTCCCTCAGGCTAACTCAGGTCTAAGACTCTGTTACCGTGGCAACCAGCAGCAACAATCAGTTACACTACAAACAGCCGAAAGAAATTAAACATTTCTTCTTGTTACTACATTCTCCGCTAAATCTCCCAAGTTAAATGTCCTTGTGACTGTTACACTCCTCCAACACACACACATATCTCCCTCTGGAGTAAACTGCACTGAGCGGCTGAATGCGCTCACTCCATCCGCCATGTTTTTTGTTTTGAAAAGTGTCTTATTTTACCCAGAATGCATTGCAGTGCAGTCCTCCTTAAGATAGTCAGAGTCTTAAGTGCTTTGTGCAACGGTCTGATTTAGATGTCTATCTGGAGTCTGACTATCTACTATATCTAAGCCGTAGTCAAAGTCTGTCTTTGTTGCTGCTGGTTGCCACGGTAACAGAGTCTGAGACCTGAGTTAGCCTGAGGGAAAGGTGTCTAATTTTTTTGGTCTAAATTAAGTCAGTCTTTATTTTAACTTGCATTAGACTAGTCTATGAGCACATTTTAGACTTGTCTAACACTATAGACCGGTGTAAAACAGCTCTGTGAAAGCGGCCCCTGGGCGTTCAGAGAGATCAGATGAACAGCACTGCTAAGGCTCTCGGCTGCTGGTATGTGGAGGATCATTGTCTGTTGAGCCGGGTTCCCATAATCCCCCTGAAATGCCCCGGAGCGCAAACAGCTTCACATTGTTCTGCATCAGATGACACTTCAAACACGTAAACTCACACCGTCTCTTTCGGACATGAACCCGACAGCTGTTAGTGCCGGCCTGGGTCACATGACCTCGCACACTGGCTGCGTTCACATGGACATTTGACATTTATTCCACTATCGGAATTAAAAAAGTACCACGTCATTAGAAGTGAATCGCCCAGATCAGATTACAATTGTGTTCAGATTGGAAGGGGTGGTTTATCTCTTTTGTAATCCGATCGAGAGAACATGTAAACACTCGATCGGACGGGAAACCGAAGCTGAAAGGACTGCGCGTGTGCGATGATGACGTAGAAATAGCGCAAGTAAAACAAAGAAAAGGAGGATGGTTTGTATGCAACAACTAGGGCGGTCACTTGACGTTCGAAAATCAAGCGCGCCGTTGTGTGTTGGGTAGTGACGTGTGTGTTCAAGTAAGCCAGAAATGAGCAGATTCTGCAATACACTATTTAATATATCATGAGGATCACGAGTTGCGTATTTGCGCTAAATCCGCGCAGATTTGTCTCACACGAACTTCCCCAGCGAAGACAGTGAGTAAACACAGAGACACGCCAGACTGGCTCGTGATTTGACAGACATTTTACGCTCGTCCTAATGCCTGTTAGGTGTCCGTGGATTTGCCTGTATTTGATGTTGAAAATGGAAACGTCTTTAGATGGAAAATCGATTCAATGAACACTTGTGACTCAAAAATTCACAAAAGTGAGAGCCCTAGAAACAACAGCGGGGAACTAAAGATTAAACTAAAGATCAGCGCATGTCTAAAGATTAAATCCGATCAGAAGCTCATCAACCCGATCACATGTTTAGCGTTCATGTAAACACTACGTTCAGATTCTTAAGTCGGAATGAATTCATTCAGATTGAAGCAGAAAGTGTCCATGTAAACGCAGCTAATGTCTCATCTCAACACGCTAGCCGTTAGCCGCTAGCGGCCTGGGTCACGTAATCGCTCACCTGAATCTCGGGTGTGTGTTGATGGCCTCGTCGGGGAAGAAAAGCGATTTCGACACTCCTTTTTCCACAGGTGTAGGTGTGTGTTCTGGCAGTGTGAAGCCTGGGCAGCCTAACCTACAAAACACACACACACATATATACCCAACACATGTGCATTGTACATGGCAACTCCACTTGTTAAAGGGGTGGTTGATTATGATTTCACTTTTCTAACTGTAGTTAGTGTGTAATGTTGCTGTTTGAGCATAAACAACATCTGCAGAGTTACGACCCTCAAAGTTCAGAGTAAAGGGAGATATTTCCTTTTACATAAATCACTTTTTAAGGACTACAACAAACGGCTGGAACTACACGAGCTTCCTCCCGGGTTAGTGACATCACTAACCCTAAAATTTACATAAACCCCGCCCCCTGAACACGATTTATAGATTATCAAGACAAAATATGCTAATCAATGAGTAGAAGATAGTTAACTCCACATCAGATAAATAAATTCATCAACTAACCATTCAGAAATGTCCTGTTGCTTCTACATGTTGTCACTCTTAGTCTCTCCATCATTGTCTGACTCCAGTTTAAACATGAAAGGCTAAAAGTTTTAAAATGTTCAGTGTGTGTGTAAATGCAAATGAGCTGCTGCTCCCTGCACAGGGGGCGGAGCTTCAAGAACTTGTGTGTGTGTGTGTGTGTGTGTTAGCAGCTCCGATTACCTCACACACACACACAAGTTCTTGAAGCTCCGCCCCCTTTCCAGGGAGCAGCAGCTCATTTGCATTTAAAGGGACAGACACAAAAATGGTGCGTTTTGCTCACCCTCAAAAAGGGACAATTTTAACATGCGATATAAAAATATCTGTGTGGTATTTTGAGCTAAAACTTCACACACACACACACACACACACACTCTGGGGACATCAGAGACTTATTTTACATCTTGTGAAAAGGGCATTATAGCACCCCTTTAAGCAACACCAAGTAACTTTTCCTCTGCGCTCGCCCTACAGGTTGGAAGTGTAATTGTCCATTACCGCTGTCGTAAATAATTTAGCCTAGCGCATCCTACTGTCGTACACACGCTCGCTGTTTATCCAGCGCCGGCTTTGGAATGAACGATGTCCACAGACAAGGTAAAGTATGTTGCATGATTTCATGAAAGTATGATGTATTGCGACATCAGAAACGAAGAAAAACTAAATAATGACTATTGTAACGCTTGCCGTAAAGCAAGTCAAATTTGTAGTTTTCTTATGTCTCATTAGAACTACAGAAACGCGACCCGATCTGGCAATCTTACATAGCGTGGTTATAGCAGATATAGGGCTGCATAGCGTGGTTATAGCAGATATAGGGCTGCATAGCGTGGTTATAGCAGATATAGGGCTGCATAGCGTGGTTATAGCAGATATAGGGCTGCATGGCGTGGTTATAGCAGATATAGGGCTGCATGGCGTGGTTATAGCAGATATAGGGCTGCATAGCGTGGTTATAGCAGATATAGGGCTGCATAGCGTGGTTATAGCAGATATAGGGCTGCATAGCGTGGTTATAGCAGATATAGGGCTGCATGGCGTGGTTATAGCAGATATAGGGCTGCATAGCGTGGTTATAGCAGATATAGGGCTGCATAGCAGATATAGGGCTGCATGGCGTGGTTATAGCAGATATAGGGCTGCATAGCGTGGTTATAGCAGATATAGGGCTGCATAGCGTGGTTATAGCAGATATACGGCTGCATAGCGTGGTTATAGCAGATATACGGCTGCATAGCGTGGTTATAGCAGATATACGGCTGCATAGCAGATATAGGGCTGCATAGTGTGGTTATAGCAGATATAGGGCTGCATAGTGTGGTTATAGCAGATATTAGGGCTGCATAGCAGATATAGGGCTGCATAGTGTGGTTATAGCAGATATAGGGCTGCATAGTGTGGTTATAGCAGATATAGGGCTGCATAGCGTGGTTATAGCAGATATAGGGCTGCATAGCGTGGTTATAGCAGATATAGGGCTGCATAGCGTGGTTATAGCAGATATACGGCTGCATAGCAGATATAGGGCTGCATAGTGTGGTTATAGCAGATATAGGGCTGCATAGTGTGGTTATAGCAGATATTAGGGCTGCATAGCAGATATAGGGCTGCATAGTGTGGTTATAGCAGATATACGGCTGCATAGCGTGGTTATAGCAGATATAGGGCTGCATAGCGTGGTTATAGCAGATATAGGGCTGCATAGCGTGGTTATAGCAGATATACGGCTGCATAGCGTGGTTATAGCAGATATACGGCTGCATAGCGTGGTTATAGCAGATATAGGGCTGCATAGCGTGGTTATAGCAGATATAGGGCTGCATAGCGTGGTTATAGCAGATATAGGGCTGCATAGCGTGGTTATAGCAGATATACGGCTGCATAGCGTGGTTATAGCAGATATACGGCTGCATAGCGTGGTTATAGCAGATATACGGCTGCATAGCAGATATAGGGCTGCATAGTGTGGTTATAGCAGATATAGGGCTGCATAGTGTGGTTATAGCAGATATTAGGGCTGCATAGCAGATATAGGGCTGCATAGTGTGGTTATAGCAGATATAGGGCTGCATAGTGTGGTTATAGCAGATATAGGGCTGCATAGCGTGGTTATAGCAGATATAGGGCTGCATAGTTTGGTTATAGCAGATATTAGGGCTGCATAGTGTGGTTATAGCAGATATAGGGCTGCATAGTGTGGTTATAGCAGATATAGGGCTGCATAGTGTGGTTATAGCAGATATAGGGCTGCATAGTGTGGTTATAGCAGATATAGGGCCACAAAGCGGAGGCAGAAGTGCCTTTCACCCTGTTACGACTTGATGAACCACTGAAACGATTTTGGTAACATTATTTTAAGGTAAAAAATCTTACTTAGTGTTGCTTTAAAAGCATGGAAAGGCAAATATAAGCCTGCATCTTTTATCAGGGTTAATAAAGCCTGTGGGGTCAAAGGGCGGATGTTATCCACACAGATGAGGCACACCCAACTCATTCAAACTGAGTTTAGCTCGAAAGCAAATGTTTCATCATTTCTATTCTTCTGTCGCAAGAGCCATTAACACACTGCCGTTCAAAAGTTTGGGATCGGTACGATTTATAATCTCTTTAAAATAACTCTTCTGCTCACCAAGGCTGCATTTATTTCATTCCAAACAAACAAACAAAAAACAGTAATATTGTGAAATATTATTATGATTTAAAAGAACTTTTCTATGTGAATATATATAGTAAAGTGTAATTTATTCCTGTGATTAAAGCGGATTAAGCATCATTACTGGGTCATTCATTTTTCTGTCCCTAGTCTTTAAAGAAATATTACACTTAAAAACACTTTAGGGTTACAATTTCTTTACATTTTAAAATAAAACAATATGTTATTTGAACAATTACAACTTCTTGAGCCATCAATGTGGCAATAGTTGATCTTTAATTAATTATATAGTATTCTAAGCACCACAGATGCTTTATTTTTATGTCAATAACAGGGTTTTCCACCATTTAAAATACAATAATGTATACATAACTATCAAATATATTATGTAAAGTATTATAAAATGTATAAAGAGAGTAGTGGACCCCTGGAGTTGTGTCACTGGTGTTACCGTTAAAGAAAAATATCAGTTATCAGACATTTTCTCATTTATATCATGATTTCATATGAAGCTTTTACTTGAACTCACTGGTATGACCTACTTTATTGTTAGGGAACTGTAAAAATGTAGAATATAAATGGATTAAACTGCTTAAGTTAGTTAGTATACCATGATTAACAACATGTGGTTTGATACCTTGCAGCAGCCATTTTGTACAATACATTTTTCATTAAAATGGTCACTTGTCTTACTGTCGCCTTTCTTATTGGTAACACCAGTAACACCAGTAACACCAGTAACACCAGTAACACCAGTAACACCAGTAACACCAGTAACTCCCATTTATACGTAAACTTTATTCAAAGCTATTCGTTTAGGTTGTATGCCAAATGTAACAATTTACTCTCATCTACTTAATTAAAGTTGAAGAATAATGATCTTTGGTCTTATCTATGTTATTTTTTATTAATTGTGTCACTGGTGTTACTGTCTTTTTTTTTGTCACATTAAATAAAATTACATAATAAACATTTTACATCCATTGAATTCTGCTACACTCAATTTAAGATTTAAAGGATTGCATCGTTACTTGATTTTAACTGGTTTTGAAATATTTTCATCCTTAGCAAATACACAAAGTAACATCATTCAAGCACACTTTTAAAAAACCTGATTAAAATAAATAAAACAATCTCCTTATTTTTTGCATACTTGCATTATTATTATTTTATGCTGAAAAGAAAATATTTTTTAATAATATTTAATAAAAACCTTTAATATTGCCAAAGTAGTAAGGTAACACCAGTGACAAAAAAAGGTACATGCACACAAAAAATATAAAAAATAATTAAGCTGTAATTTATGTGTATTAATAAAGTCAAAGGGTTATCTAATAATGTGATCTAAGTTTAAATGTTAGAAAAATAAATAAATTCTAATATGATGATTTGCTGCTTAAAAAAACATTAATTGTTGATGAATAGTAAGTTTAAGAACAGCATTTATCTGTAATAGAAAGCTTTTGTGACATTATACACTACCGTTCAACAGTTTGGGGTCAGTGAGAATTTTTAAAAAGAAATTAATACTTTAATTCAGCAATGATGCATTAAATTGATCAAAAGTGACAGTAAAGACATTTATAATGTTACAAAAGATTCTACTTCAAATAAATGATGTTCATTAAACTTTCTATTAATCATAACAACAGTTTTCAACATTGATAATCATAAAAGTTTCTTGAGCATCAAATCTCAGCATATTAGAGTGATTTCTCTGAAGACTGGAGTAATGATGCTGCTTCGATATCACAAGAAATATATAAAAAAAAAAGATTTTAAATTGTAATAATATTTTACAAAATTACCGTTTGTTTTGCAGTTTTATCGATCCCAAACTTTTTGAAAAGCAGTGTCTACATGTATACATATATACTAGCGCTGGTCCAAAAAATGGATTTTTCGATTAATCTTTTTTTTAAATGTGGTTC